CGCTGAACTGTCGACCTTTCGAATGACAAGCTCAGCGTCTTAGCCACTGAGCCACCGTGTCCCTAAATGTAGTAAAGTAAAGCAGAAAGTAGTAAAGCAGAAGTAAAGTAACATCCAAATACGACTGACATATGGAGATTTTAACAATATGGATACCTATCAACAACAGTGGATTGTTGTTGTTTTTTTAAAAAAATCATGTAAAAGTAAACTCCCTTTTTATGACCCTCTGTAATCCCTTAATTTGGGGTAGAATTGGGGTGATTAGATGGAGCTGAGTGTTTACTGGCTGGATGCCCTTCCAGACACCACATGGGGTTCATAGCAGATAGTTTTTCTTTGTGCCCTAAGAGAGAAACATCTGCCATTACCTAGGGTTGAACTCTTAAGCTTCTGAGTGGAAGTCGAGAGTCTTCACCACTAGGCCATCACTCTTTCATGTAAAGGTAATACAGTGATAAATGAAAAAGAGTATCCCACTGATTCTTAAATTATTCTGTAGGATGCAAAAACAGTTCCTCTCTCAGAATTAGTGGGCTGTATTGCACTGATTCAATGGTGTGAGAAAAGCGATTTGAGGAATCCTAGCCAGATATCTGGGGACTGAGTCGCAAATTAAATTTGCCTTTTGCCAAACTAGACAATTAGTTTATTTAGGGTAAGCATTCCCAACACTGACTAGTTGTAGCTCTCCAAAATTTCAGAAAGGGGTCTTTCCTAGACCCATCTGGAGCAGCCAAAAAATAAAATTTATACTTTTTCTAACATTTTTAACCATGACCAATGATTGATCAATGTATATGGAATAAAAATGCTGGTCCATGAACAGTTTTTGAGCAGTGTCAGATTTCAGAGGCACAGTGCTTTTCCAGTTTTGGTTTATTTTGGCATAAGGACAGTAGATACTTAGCTGCATTGGGAAATATGTGTATTTATTCACAAATAGATAGGCAGAGCCCAGATGGAAATAAAACAGTGAACACTTTCATAGCTTCTCCAACCTTCACTGCTGTACCATCATATTTATAATAGCCAACTGTTATCTGAAGACTCTGTATAGGGTCTGTTACGTTGCCTTTTTTTCAATTCTAACATTTTTTTTCTTTGAAAAGCAATATAGCACATCATTTTCTATAAAAGAAATATGGAGTGAGGAGGAGGAGATGGGTATGTCCCATTCACCTGAATGTACAGTACATTTAAGAATAGTATTTAGTCCTTTTCTTAGCTAGTTTTTAAAAGTCAATAGACAATACAGTGGTTAATCTGTAAAATCAAGTATAAGGTTGTTTTGTTATTTTTCTTTAACAAAAAGAGGCACTACTCACTATTTTGCTAGATCTATTTACAAGTCCAAAATTCTAGGCAGATATGCCTCAGGCAACTATCACTACTAAAAGACTCATTTCTAAGGTTATAGGATCTTATATGAACTGCAATCCCTCCACATTAACAGTCTTACAATAGGCATTCAGTTGAACTACAATTTGCAGTCCCTCTGGGCTTTAGAGAGTGGTTACATGGAAATTCAAATAGTAGATTTAAGAGTAAATCTTCTCATTCATATGTAAGATAACCCTACAGATTTTTTCCCTGTTAACCAACAATTAAACTGAAATACTTAAAAGCACACAATACATTCCTCTCCTTTGCAGAGCTAGGAAGGAAGAATCAAAATATTTCATCTAAATTTCATGAATAAAGGAAAATATAAGTTTAAAAACAGAAAAGAAAAAAAAAACCCACCCAAACCTGGCACAAATAGCAAAACTCAGAGGAAAGAAATTCCAGCGGTTTTGCTGGGAAGATGAAAATTTGCTTTTATATTTAAGTGAAACACCAATCTTTCTCATTTTAATTAATGCAGCAATTTGAAAAGTATTTATAGGCTAATTAAACTGAATAGGAACCTATTGAATATGATTTTTCACAAATCAGCTGATATGGTATACTGGTAGTCAAATTACTCTAGTAGAAAACAATTGAAAGTCTACTAGATTAGATTAGATTAGAATTCTTTATTGGCCAAGTGTGATTGGACACACAAGGAATTTGTCTTTGGTGCATATGCTCTCAGTGTACATAAAAAGAAAATATACATTCATTAAGAATCATAAGGTACAACACTTAAATGATAGTCATAGGGTACAAATAAGCAATCAAATCATAGTAGGAAACAATCAATATAAATTGTAACGAAACAGCAATAAATTACAGTCATACTGTCATAAGTGGGAGGAAATGAGTGCTAGGAAAGATGAGAAGATTAATAGTAATGCAGACTTAGTGAATAGGTGGTTTCAAAAGTAATGAAATGGGACTTCCAGGGAATGATTTTTTTAAAAAAAAAAATCTATCACTTGGCAGTACTTTTATTAGGATCAATACATATATTTTAAAAAAAGTGGATAAACTTCCTAGTTTACTAAACTCCTTTAGCTGGCCAGGTGCTATATAAAGGACAAAATAGAAAAAAAGTGCAAAAATTGACTTACTCCTACACCACTAAGTCTTAAACCTAAAGATTGGATCTAGGTTTATACCCTGGGCTAAACCATGATTTGGATTTAATCATAGTTTGTTACATAAATTTGCACTAAATTTATGAAACGTGGATTACAAGACACAGAGGGTGAATTCATACAATACAGTAAGCCAAAATCAAACAAAAACATATTATGGCTTTGTACAATTTGGGAACATATGCATCTGGAGCAAAGCACATTGGCATCACATGTACTTCAATGTAAGCATGCAATCAGTGCAAATTGTGTAATTTGTATCAGTCCAAAAATTCAGTTGCATGATGATGGCAAAAATTATACAGCAATTTGCATGATGGTGTCATGGCATACATGTTGATACTTGCCCCCACTCCCTGCAGATGGCCGTGTTTGTGAACCCAGTTGGTCTGAGAGCAATTTCTCTGTGGGATTCAAGTTTCCATTTTTAAAAGGTTATAGAATAAAGACAAACCGTCAATCTCACCATTGAAAACACTCCTCATTTTGTGAGATTCATTTTCAGTCTTCTGAGAAAGCACCAATCTCTTGTTGAGCAAAGGGCAGAGGAAAAATCTAGCAATCTTGTAGGAGCTATGTAATTAGGGTTGTCCAGCCAGAAATGGAAAGCAATGCAGTGTAACCAGATATATTCAGATTTAATTCTTACGCCATAGTAGATGCATACAGGATCATAGCTTTAAGGTGAAATCTAAACATATTTGCTCTAAAATTAAGAACACTGAAATTTTCATAATGTTGTAACCTCCGGAATCTGAACTAATTTAACTCCAAAACAGATTCTGCCAGATTTAGTTGATCTGCTGCATGCACCAACACTATTTTCTTTGTTTGTTTTTAAATATATACATAAATTCAAAATTGTCTGGCAAGGCCTATTTATACTTAGACCTTATTTATACTTATAAATATACTATTTATATTTATATTATTTATACTTACACATACTTAATTTATACTATTTATACTTATTTATTCCATTTATACTTAGGTTACACCTCAGTTACCGTATTTATCACAGCTATAACACTTTTAGCATATCACAAGCAGGCTATTAGTTTTATTTATTTTACACTAGCAAGCCTAGTTAAAGCAGGAGAACGATTCTGTCAAGGTTGCCAGTAGATGAATATGCCTGGGGTGAGGGGGATTTTTTTTTTAAAAAAAATCTTAATTCAACATTTAATTGTTTTATTTATCGTTTTAATTAATGGGGCCAAATCTATATATATATATTTAACTGTATTTTAATATTTGTAATTGATGTTTTTATTTGGCTGTTCACCGCCCTGAGTCCTCAGGGAGAAGGGCGGTATACAAATTCAAAATAAAATAAAATAAAATAAAATAAACATTTCCTTCCAACCGAGCGCCTATTTTATAACTCTACTTGTCAGTTAAGTACTCTTTCAGCGCGGTGATAGCTTCAGTGTTAGGCACACAATAGACTTTACTTTCTCAGGTGCCCTATTTCAAGATGGAACTTCCGCACACACACACACACACACACAACTACTCAGTGTTGTTTTCGTTTGGCTTCCACACAAACACACACACACCCTCCGCCTATTTCCCCCTCTGCACGGTTTTTAAAGCCTTGTCCGATTGCACTGTATTCTAAAACACGGTCCAATTGTTGTTTCCTTTAATATGAATTTTAACGCGGTGCCGCCGTCGTCGGCGAAGCGGAGAATCCTTTTTCGAGTATGCTCGGAGATCGACTAGACTTCCCTGTCCGGAGCTCAGCGCCTGGTACTATTTGGCTCCAAGGGCAGCCGCAGTTGCTCCTTAACAGGTGGTCAGAGCAGGAGGCGGTTCAACAGGTGCAGCATCGCTGTGATGAAGTCATGGGCCGAGCTGCACCTGTGACGTTTCCCAGCCGATGCTGAGGCAGCGGGGAACTGGGTGGACGACGGCCAGCCACTCCGCAAGCCTTCTAGCAAAGCCTAAAGCGTTGCTTTAGGACAGGTGTTGTTCCACCTCGCCTCGAGGGGCTAGCGAGCTCACGAGTTTGAAACCCCTTTTTCCCAGGTGTGAGAAAGCGGGGGATTTGGCCCTTGGGCGACCCGCCATCTCAGACTTGGGAGACCACACACGTTTGTTCAACTGGTGAAGCGCTGGCTGGAATGAAAAGCAAACCCCGCGGAAACGGCACCTGGCTTTTGTTACGTGTCTGGCCGCCTCAAGGAAAAAGTGTGCCTGGGTGAAAAGTGTCCCTTTCTAATGTCGCGGAGAAAATTAGGAAACGTAACGCCCTCCTCACATCCTCCACTTTTTTTTCTCTTTTTTTTTTTTAAAAGCTCCCTCTTCTCTCTTATCTTCTCTTTCCCAATACATAAGCATTAAAATGCAGCCACGGCGGGCAGGAAACCGGAGCTTGAATTCTTAACGCTCCCGTCACAGCCGAGGCTGCCTGAGAGAGCGAGAGAGAGAGAGCTGGGGCGTCTTCCCGAGAGCGGGCGGCAGGAGGCGCTGGCGGGTCCCGCTCTAACGGGCTATGATGGGCTCCCTGCCGAAATGAGTCCCTCATTCCCGCGGCCGAGGCGCTAAGAAACGGAGGGACGGACGCGCGCCGGGCGAGCGCTTCACAGCTCCTCCTTTCGCGGCTGAGCAAAGTAACTCCGATGGAGTAAGAAGAGTGCAGCCGCGATCGCAGAAGCCACGAGCGCCGGGCTTCAGCTTTTGCCGCACGGAGGGGGCGGGGAGCAGGGAAAAAAAAAAAAAAAAAGAAGAGCACCGCCAGCAAAAGAAGAGAACTGTTGCCTTTCTCTTCTTTCTTTCTTTCCTTCCTTCCTTCGTTCCTTCCTTCCTTTCCCGACCAGGCAACAGGAGGCTCCGGGAAAGGCGAGAGGTTTCTTCGCGGCTCTGGGCAGAGACCGCCTGAGCAAGAGAGACTCCTGGTATAAAGTTATCCAAAGTCGCTATGGCCCCGGAGGCTGGAGCCCTCGGCTTACTGGCGGCGATCGTCTCCTTCGTCGCGCCCTCGGCTGCCTTCCTGGGAGCAGCTCGTGGCCAGTTCTCGGCAGGTAAGGACTTGCTCCGTGCCATAGGCGTCCCGTTTCTATGGACGGGGTGGGAGGAGGAGAAGCGGGCCTCCTCCTCCTCCTCTTCCTTTGCCTCTCTTGGCTTCTCCCGCTGGGTGTCCGGGGAAACCTTTGGGGTTCGAAGAGCTCCGAGCTCCAAGAGGCGGTGGAGGTTGTACCGGGGAAAGGGGGTCCCATTAGAGAAAGGGGGTTCTTTCCCGGATGATTCCGCCACATTCCTCAGATTCGGGAAGGAGGGTGTCGGGCAGCCTCGTACTTGCAATGGAGAGGTCCCCCTACCACCACCACTACCTCTTTCCCCGAAAAAGGCTAGCCGTTCGGGGTTCTCCCTCTGGAGTTGCTTCGGAGGTTGGAGAAAGCGGAACGCCGCGGTGCTTTCCTTCCAGAATCCCAAACCTCTTCGGCACCTTGACGCGTTCGAGAGCGAGAAAGCCAGGGACCGTTGGAAAGAAAGCGCGGTCGACTTTCGTTCGCCCTTTCCTCTCAAATGGCCCTGGCGGCTGCGGGATGGGGCTCTTCTCTTTGTGTAAAAATCACTGGAGTTTTTGCATCTTGGAACTGGGGGGGACGGGGGGGGGTGTAAGGGGAGAGAGAAGAGCCATAGAGTTTGAAGGAGGCCCATTAGATCATCGAATCCAACCCGCTGCTCGGTGCAGGAATCCACCAGGCTTCCCCCAGAGGCTGCACATTTTCGGCTTCTCACGCCAATCGTCGACCTCTCGCCTGGTCAGTTGCCCAGATCCTGTTTACATAGCCTTGGCTGGTTACATTTTGGAATGTCTCCTCTGCTTTGTTAGTAGAGATGGGAGCGCATTTGGGATGGGGGGGGAAGCTGATTTCTGCATGAACCATACACACACACACACACACAAACACAAAAACACAAACACAAACAAACAAACACACAAAGGAACAAAAGGAATCCTTAAGTTTTCCCGGAAGCTTTCGCTAACTTCTTTGTATCTAAACTGGAAAGGAGCCGGAGGAGGAACAGCAACTCTGCTGCTACATTCAGTGTAGCTTCGCTTCGTATAACTGGAGTTTTGAAGGGAAGGTAGTACTTCAGGTCACAGCCTTACCATCCCCTCCCCGGGTCATTTTAGCAGCTCCTTTCCCCTTTAAGGGGGAAGGGAGAACAGCCGCGAAAGAGTTAATCCTTTGGCGCGGTTATCAGGCTTTTTCTAAAGCAAACAAGCTGCACCCAACAGCGACGGGCCGATTCCTCCTCTTCTTCTGTTGACTTTACTGCCGGGCTAACTTTTGGCCCGCGGGGGCTGATCTCGGCGGCAACGATTTCCCCCATGTGGAATGGCTTTGGACGCGCACGCTCCCCTGCGCAGACCTTCAGAACAACTTGGCATGTGTTCTGGTTGGCGAGCGCTTTTCAGCCTCGCCTTTGTTTCTGGAAAAAAACGGTGATTAAGCGCCAAGGAGAAAGTCATCTGAAGGCTTTGGGGTGAGGGGAGAGGAATGCAAGTTGACAGCTACAGAGCGAAATGCTGAAAGTCCCAACAAACCTGCTTGCCCAGTTCAAGGGATGGTGCCTATATTCATCCCAGAAACGGTACTGCCTGTAACCATATCCTTTTGTCTGGAAGGAAAAACAGCCAGTTCGGTTTTGGAACAGCCTGCGAACTCGTAAAAAAGACCCTTTTGCAAGCTTCCTTCCCAATACAGACTCATTTTAGAACCTACTGAGACTGTTTGACCTCTGACACTCTTCCTTGTGTTTTCTATGTAAGATCAGAGAAACAGGCTGACTGAATCTAGTTGGGCTGCCTGCAGTTTTTTATGTAAAGAGACAGAAAGTTGGAGATGGCAGGATTCTTATGCCACTCAAGTCCATTGATTTCAAGGGAGCTTATTTCTGAGTGTTACATTGTAAAGAAACTCATCTAATAAACACAAGCAATGTTTATAAATGGAATTTTGAAATAAATTTTCTCCCTCCCTCCCTCCCAAATGTTTGCAAAGACTGAAATCTCGATACAAAGTTTTGAAAGGGTTGGCTGTAGATCGCTATGGTTGTAAGATATTTATGGAGTGTGTTTTTAACAAATATAAACAAAAGGTCTTATGCGTATTTTGTCAATATTCTGGGAAAATTTGAGCTATTTCCATTCCTAAAAAAAATCCAATGCAAAACTTTTCTTTTTTTAGTGCCAGTAGCTTTGTTGTGTTGTATACAGTCAAAGACAAAGGGGGAATGTATTCTGCATTTGCCTTAAATTACATGCTTTCTCTATCTTACTAGCTATGCTAAATCACCTACCGTTTTTAATCTTATTTAATCAGGCAATTTTATTTTTTTTTAGATATATCCATTTCAATACCAAAGCAATTAAATCTGTGGTGTGTATAGCTTTCCTTTCCACATTCTGTTGCTGCTCTTTGTATTTCAGTTCTTGTTTCTCACATACTCTTTCCCCAAGGAAAGTTATGATAACTGCATATTCTACAAGTCTATCATTCTTGTAGCTGAGAATGTAGAATAAGGGACCAAGGTTACATCAGTATCCTGGAATTTTATTAGGTGTGGTGACAGGAAGAAAACAGACACACACAGAAATGAAAGGATTCTTAGGGGGTGATTCACAGACCACCTGTAATAGGACAGGAATTAAATTAACTGCCAGCAGTCTCTTGAATTGTCCTATTTTTTAAAAGAATAGATCACTACAATAAATTGGACAGATTTTTCTGATATTGCTGGACTCTCAGTATTAAACACTATCTAACCTTGACTTCAGATATCTGACAATCAAATTGAAATGCTGTCAGCTGGCCATTTATTAATACAGACTTCTAAGTTTGAGGGAAAAGATACAATTTTGAGAGATGCCACAAAATGTACCAGTGCAACACTAGGTTTTTCTTGAGTTTAGGATATACAGCATTGTTTGGCCTGAAGTGACCCTCTATAATTTTGTGTAATGTATTCTCTTCAACTTTGTTCTATATATTGTTAAAAAATGTACTGATGTCTGAAACAAATCCCAGAAGTGCCGTAAATCAATTCAGGGAAACACTTATTTCTCTAATAAATATGGAACAAAAGACAATAAAACCTAACAGGATTCCCTTTTTATTTCAACTTTGTTATTTCATCAAGAATTACCCTCAATATTGTTTTGAATGGACAATTGGACAAACAATGTATAAATATACTAGTGTTGTGTTTGATTATGCAAATGTAAATATCATACATTTGTCATGAAGCTTTTACAATTCCCTTCATCTGATTATAAGGAGTTCATTCTCATTCTTGTCTAGAGCTCTGTGTTTAAAATTATCAGATTCTGTGTAAATGTTGACTGTCTTGATCATCATTTAATTAACATTTTTAATAATGTCAGCAATGACTTTAGTAGATGACTGATGTGAGCACATTAATTGAAATTGTATTATAGTCTTTAGTTTAATTCCTAAATCATGTGTTGGCATAGAAGCAATATTATTCAGAAGTAGCATAAAAATATAGTGCTGCTTTTTAAAAATTAGATTGTGTAGGAGACTGTATGGGTTCTAGCCCTAAATATAGTTCCCAAGATTCTATGAAACTGGCCCTTTTCCAAGTGACTTTCTCCTGTCATCAGTTTCTCTTGAGAGATATTTAATGTGAATAAAAAGGTAAAGGAGTCCCTGAGACTTTTACTCCACTAGTCATAGCTGACTTAGAGGGCAGTGCTTATCTCTGTTTCAAGGCCATTGAGCCAGCTCTATCCAAACACATTTCTGCAGTCTTGTGGCCAGCATGATGTCACGGAGTGCTGTTACTTCCCCACCAAGTGGTACCTATTTTTCTACTTGCATTTGCACACTTTTGAACTGCTAGGTTGGAAGGAGCTGGAGCAAGGACGGGAGCACAGTGCTTGGATCTCCAACATGGGCCGTCTGCTTTCCAGCTGACGAGCCCAATGTCTTAACTGCTGAGCCATCGTGTTGCTCTGTTTAGTATGAGTACAGACAAGAAATGAGAGATAAGGCAAGATGAAATGGTACCAGTTACAGGGATTGGCAGAGAACAGGGCCACTTCTAGTAACAGGAAAGAAGAAAACCTGCAAAATGGGAAAATACCTGAATATGATTTTTTTCTGTGCGTTATTCACACAGTCTTCCATCTAGATAGGTGATATCAATTAATAGGTAGAAATTCCACCTATTAATTCTTCAAAATTCCAGCTGTTCATTATCCTGCATTATCCTTTTGCTAACTATAATATAACATTCAATGACCATTGATCTTACTTAGTCCTTTTGTTTTGGAAATATTGTCTCCATGATGTTTTTGTTTTGGAGTTATTTTGGGTACACAAAATAACCTGTTTCATTTGTTGGTATATAATATTTTCTCTTGAGAAGAATATAGGTGAACTTGATGAGTGATTTCATGATTTGGGAATGGATTTTACACTCATGATTGTATGTTAGATCTGTCCTATATGATTTATATATGCATGATCTAAAGCACCATGGAAGTTAGAGGACGGATGACTTGTTTTTATTTTAATTGGTGGAAATAAAATATCATTGCTGTTCTTTGAGGACAAGTTTCTCATTTTTATTATATTTTTGTCAAACATTTTCATTGAGAAATAATCTTCCCCAGGTGAATTCTTAGAATATTTTGAAGTGGACAGTGAAGGGAATAATTATACAAAGTCTTTGAATCTCCAGATCACAGTGTTGTCAATATCAAGAAAATCCATGTATTGGATTAGCACAATTTAATATTATGTCTTAATGAAATTGATCAAGATGGCAGAAAATATGTAAAATAATTCCCTTAAAAATCTTTAAATTTCTTACCATTTGTGAAAGAACTTACTCCAGGACCTATCTCTTAACAGTAATGTAGTTTTTTTTTTTTTTTACTAATTAATCTGAAACCAGACATAATAGTAAACATTAAATAAATGTAAAACAAATATAATTCTAATTTTACTGGGGAAGGTGAGTTTATTTAGAAACGATACAATCT